ATGGGAGATCTTTCCATTTTCTGGTATCTTTGTTAATTTCTTTCTTTAAAGACTCAGATGGTGATGTTTCTCTGATTTCTTTCTCAGCCCTCTTATTGTCGATGTGTAGTAGGGCTACTGTTGATCTTCTCAAAGAACCAACTCTTTATTTCATTGATTCTTTGTAATGTTTTCCTAGTTTCTACTTTACTAATTTAAGCCATCTGTTTGATTATTTCCTGGTATCTACTCCTGAGTGGTGAGTTTGCTTCTTTTTGCTCTAAAGCTTTCAGTTGTTCTGTTAATTCTCTAGTGTGACTATTCTCCAGTTTCTTCATGTGGGCACTTAATGTTATGAACTTTCCTCTTAGTACTGTTTTCATAGTATCCCATAAATTTGGGTATGTTGTGTCTACATTCTCATTAAATTCTAGGAAGTCTTTAATTTCTTTTTTTTTATTTCTTCCTCACCCCAGGAGTGGTACAATTGTGGGTTATTTCATTTCCATGACATTGTAAGTTTCCTGCAATTTGTATTGCTGTTGAATTCTAATCTTAAGTTATGGTGATCTGATGAGATACAGGGGCTTATTTCAATTTTTGTATCTGTGGAGGTTTGCTATGTTGCCAAGTATGTGGTCAATTTTAGAGAAGGTTCCATGTGGCACTGAGAAGAAGGTATATTCTTTTGTGTTGGGATGGAATGTTCTATAGATGTCTATTAACCCAATTGATTCAAAACTTCTATTACATCCTTTGTTTCTTTGTTAAGTTTCTGTCTGGTGTTTATGTCTAGTGTTGAAATCAGGGTGTTGAAGTCTCCTACTATAAGTGTGTGTGGTTTTATGTGTAGTTTGAGTTTTAGTAATATTTCTTTTACAAATGTGTGTGCCTTTGTATTTGGGGCATAGATTTCAGGATTGAGACTTCATCTGTGTTTTTAACCACAGGTTTTATGAGTTCAAATTAGGAATAAGCTTGCTTCACATGTGAATCCTTTCTCTCTCTCCCTCCCCTTACCCTCAACCCTCCACTCAATTCCACACTTGCCCCCACCCATCCTACCTCCTCTTCCCAGGCAGGTTAGTGCCTCTAATTGGGTTTACCCAAAGTCCAGCATATCATCCTGGGCTGGGCCTAGGCCCTCCACCATGTGTTCAGGCCGAGGTAGCATCCATTCAGGTGGGATGGGATATCAAATCCCCTCCTTACAACTGGGAAAAATACTGATCCACTACCAGCATCCGCATAGACTGCAGACACCACCTTATTGACATTTATGTTCAAGGGTCTGGAACTGTCCTGCTCTGGCCTCCCAGACAGCAGTCTGGGGTAGATGTGCTCCTCCTTGGTCATGCAAGCTGTATCTGTGGGTTTCACCAGCCTGGTACCCACCCCTTTGATGGACTTTTCCTGTGATGAGTATGAAATGCCCTTCTTCATCTCTTTTCATTGATTTTTGCTTGAAATCTAATTTGTTAGATATTAGGATTGATACACAAGATTGTTTCTTGGGTCCCTTTGATTGGAATATCTTTACCCAGCCCTTTACTCTGAGGTAGCGCCTTTCTCTGAAGTTGAGGTATGTTTCTTGTATACAGCAGACAGATTCTGTCTTCATATCCATTCTGTTAGCCTGTACCTTTTTATAGGCAGGTGAAGACCATTGACACTGAGGCATATTGGTGTCCATTGATTGTTGGTTCTAGGTTCTTTTGGATTTATTGTTGGTCGTGTATTGTGTGTGAATTTCACCCTAATATTTCGTTTTGGGTTTGGTAAAGTTGGATTATCTGTTCCCTATGTTTTTGTGAGAGCAGTTATTTTGTTGGGTTGGAGTTTTCCCTCCAGAACTTTCTGTAGTGCTGGGTTGTTGGATATGTATTCTGTAAATCTGATTTTGTCATGAAATATCTTGTTTTCTCCATCTATAATGATTGAAAGCTTTGCTGGGTACAGTAGTCTGTGTTGGCATCCATGTTCCCTTAGTATTTGTAAGACATCTATCCAGCATCTTCTGGCTTTCAAAGTTTCAGTTGAGAAGTCTGGTGTAATTCAGATAGGCCTGCCTATATATGTTACTTGACCTTTTCCCTTTGCTGCTCTTAATATTTACTCTTTATTCTGAAGGTTTGGGGTTTTGATAATTATGTGAAGATGGGACTTCTTTTTGTGGTCCAGTCTATTTGGTGTTCTGTAAGCTTCTTCTACTTTTATAGGCATATCCTTCTGTAGTTTGGGGAAGTTTTCTTCTATGATTCTGTTGAATATGTTTTCTGTACCTTTGAGCTGTATTTCTTCAGCTTCTTCTATACCTATTATTCTTAGGTTCAGCCTTTTCACGGTGTGCCATATTTCCTGGATATTTTGTGTTAGGGATTTGTTGGACTTGAGATTTTCTTTGGTGGATTACTGTATATCCTCTAGTGAGTCATCGACAACTGAGATTCTCCCTTCCATCTCTTGTTTTCTATTGATTATACTCACATCCTTACATTCTGATCATTTATCCAGCTTTTCTATTTCCAGCATCCCCTCATTCTGTGTTTTTTTATTGTTTCCATTTCATCGGTCATGCCTTGAACAGTTTCAAGTGCTTCCTTCACTTGTTTGCTTGCTTAATCTTTAGATTTTTAAGACAATTACTAATTTTTTTAATTCTTTTAGTTGTTCTTCCTTCCATTTCTTTAAGATATTTTCTTGTTTCCTCTTTATGACTCTCAAACATCTTCATTAAGTAGATTTTTAAGTTTGCCTCTTCTTCCTATGTGTTGTGTCTTTCAGATCTTGCTGGTTGGAGTGCCCAGATATTGGTGGTGTCATATTGGTCTTTCTGTTGTTCGGTGTGTTCTTATTCTGCATTCTTCTCATCTCTTCTTCCAGTGGGTGCAGGTGGGGACTCTATATCTCCCTTTGTCACCTAGTTGTAAGTGTTGGCCATGTCTTCAATATGTGCAGCTATGGAAGGTCTTTCCTCTCCTGGTAGTCTCCTCATTCAAGAGTGGTCAGGATAGTGGAGGGGGAAGGACGAGTGAGCTATTTTCAGACTCAGGGAGGTTCTCTCTGTCTGGGCAGATCCACTCAATGCAGTCCCAGGCCCAGAGAGATGCTGGGGTAATGTGGGCCTTAGACAGGAGTAAGGCTCGGGAGAGATCGTGGTGGTGGAGATGGAAGGAAGAGTCTATAAACTGGAAACTTTTACCACATGGAAGAATAATGAAGAACATTATAACAGAATGTGGATGAAGTTGCAATAGAAATTGTGTGTGTGTGTGTGTGTGTGTGTTGGATTCAGCATTTTTTTATAAATTTGATTTAAATTAGAAACAGTCTTATTTTACATACCAATCCCAGTTCCCTTGCCCTCACATCCTCCCATGCTCCACCACTGACCCCCATTCAACCCCACAATCCATTCCCCGGGAAGGGTGAGGCCTACAGTGAGAGATCATCAAAGTCTATCTAGTCATTTGTTACAGGGTCTAGGCCCTCCCCTGTGAATCCAGGCTGAGAGGGTATTCTTCCATGGGGAATGGGCTCCAGAAATCCATTTGTGCACTAGGGATAAATACTGGTTCCACTACCAGAGGCCCAGACCTCCTAGCAGACACCCACATGCGGGGGCCTGTTTTGGTCCTTTGCTGGTTCCCCAGCTGTCAGTCTGGTGTCCATGAGCTCCCACTTGCTCAGGTCAGCTGTTTCTGTGGGTTTCACAGCATGGTCTTGACACATTTTCCATCACTCCTCCCTCTGTTCAACTGGATTCCAGGAGTTCAGCTCCGTGCTTAGCTGTGGATCTCTTCTTCTGCTTCCATCAGCTACTGAATGAAAGCTCTAGGATGGCAATTATGGTAGTCATAGACCTCATTACAGGGGAAGGCCTTTTAAGGTAGCCTCTCCACTATTGCTTAGATTCTTAGTTGGGTTCATTTTTGTGGTTCTCTGGACATTTCTGTAGACCCAGATTTTTCTTTAAACCTGAAATGGCTCCCTCTACTAAGGTGTCTCTTCTCTTCCTCTTCTCTATTCATCCCTTGACTAATCTACCTGATCACTCATGCTCTTCTCCCCCCTCCTCCACTGCACTTTCTCCTACCTCCCTCCTCCCTACAACCTATGCTTCCAGTTGTTCAGGAGCTCTAGTGTCTTTCCCCTTCTCTGGGAGATCATAGATGTGTCTCTTAGGGTCCTCATTGATTCATCATTCTCTGGAGATGTGGATTGTAAACACAATGCCAGTAGCCCAGACACTGACATTCACAATTAATAAAAGGCACCTTCTGAAACTGAGAATGTTCTGTAGGGCAAAGCAGTCAGTCAACAAGACAAAACAGTAGCCCACAGAATGGGAAAAGATATTCACCAACCCCACATCTTACAGAGGGCTGCTTTCCATATACAAAGACTTCAAGAAGCTAGTCACCAAAATACCAATAATCTAATTAAAAAGTTGGGTACAAAACTAAACAGAGAATTCTTAATACAGGAATCTAAAATGGCTGAAAGACACATAAGAAAGAGTTCAACAGCATTAGCCATCAGGGAAATGTAAATCAAAACAGCTCTGAGATACAATCTTATACTCATCCAAATGGATAAAAACAATAATATCAGTGACAGTTTATGCTGGTGAGGATGTGGGAAAGGGGAACAGTCCTCCATTGCTTGTGGGAGTGTCTGATCCCTGAAAACCTAGAAACTCAAAATAACATTTTTTTCTTTGCTTCTTCAGGTCACATATGGATTGTTTCATTCTGTGCTAAGTGACAAAGATACATTCCCATCCTTGTACCAGATTTCTCCTCAAGAAAAAGCTCTGACCCAAGGGGTGATCTTTTTATTGCTGCACTTTGGCTGGAAGTGGGTGGGAATCATTGTAGCTGATGACCTAAAAGGAAAGGAGTTCCTCTCTGACATGACAGCAGAGCTTGCTTCAGAAGATATCTGTGTGGCTTTTACAGAAAAAATACCAACTTTTAAAAAAATGGATTTTCTGTTTGGGGTTGGGGTGGTGAATTTGAGCCAACATACAAAAGTAAATGTGTATGTGTTTTATGGGGATATAGATGATGTCCTGATTTTCTACATACTAAACGAAATTAAGTCAAAGAGAAAGAAGATGTGGATCATGGCAAAGCCCAACTTTGTTTATTTACAATCTGTATTTTATAAGTGGATTGGTTTGATGCCCTTTTTTGAAGGTAGCTTCTCATTTTCAAAGAAGAGAAATATCCCTGGCTTCAAGCACTTTATCGAGGCACTTACACCCTCACAGTACCCAAGTGATATTTACTTCCATAAATTCTGGCTGGACAATTTTCACTGCTCACCTTCTCCTTTGCTATGTGGAAGTAAAGAACTCTGCCCACTGAATATATCGCTAAAGAATAAACAGGAAATAAAGGTTGTGATGATAACTTCTGAGCCCAGCGTTTCCATATGGAATGCAGTGTATGCAGTGGCCCATGCCCTCCATGAAATGCTTTTGAGTAAAACAGAAATAGCTTCTCACAAAGACATAAACCAGGACAGGCTTCTACCTTGGCAGGTAAGTCCACCTCATAAAGAAAGAAGACACTGGGAACTTATATTATTAGTAGGTACTTCACTGAGATCAAACACACAACACATTTTCATGTTGTAATGAAAAGAATAATGCAAAAGGTTGCTTACTTCTAGGGTCCAACCCCCAGTCAGAACCAGGGTAAATAAGGAAATCCATGAAGGTGGGGGGATCTAGCATAGATACTTACATGAGGTTTACTAGACTTTTCTGTCTGAGGGGGAAAATAAGGAAACAGGGATGCTTTCTGTGGGTAAATGTCTCTTTACTTCATCGTTAAAAAATTCTTTGTGAAAAATCTGCCTCTCCTCCCAATGCTATATTCAGCAGCTTTTTTCTACTTAATTACACCCTTTGCTTTCCTCTCTCCTTTCTTCCTCTGCCCCCCTTTTGCTACTATCTTTCTACCTCTTCATTAACACTCCTGTCTGTTGCCTCTGCTGCCTCTGCCTCTGCCCTCTGCCTCAGCCCCTGCCTCTGCCTTCTGATTCCCTCACAGCCAAACACTGGCCCATTGTATTTTATTTTTCAGGGTCCAACCCATATTCATAAGCCATGTTAAGTCACATAGTTTCACTCAGGCTAACAATGTCTCATTTACCCATACTTGTAGCACTTTCCCATGTAGAAAATGACTTTGGAAATCAAGACTTATCAATAACAATTAATTAGCTGGGCCTTGAGTGGTAGGGAGCTCATAGAGACTAAATTTGCTTTGATCTCTGGCCTTGAAATTGTGAAACAACACCTGAGAAAAATGACATCATGTATTTGCCTCTAGGGAGTGCCAGATTTTTGTCTCCAGGGGCAACCAACCTGCCTTGAATCTGCTCTGAAGTCAAAACTACCTGGTTTTGTAAAAGGCTGTCTTTGTGATTGGAAATCCTATGTCAGTCTGAGTAATGTAAAATATCCTAGTACTTTTTCTATTCATCAAAATTGTACAGTTTAAGAATCATCTTCCTGGCTATCCACAGCTGTCTTCATGCCCAGTAGATGCAATATTTTTGTGAGGTAAATGCACAAGCACTTTTAATACACCCAAAGCTGTTACTAGACAAAAATTGAAGTGACTCATGAGAGAAATTACAGACTGGAGTAACTGGTTTCCACAGCCAGTGATTCCACTACCTTTCCAAGTCTGGCTCCTCACCAGGGAATCATGCTTCTGATAGGCCAAGCTGCTGAACGATAATTGTCCCCTGATGTATACTCTCACAGCTCTTAGTAGCAAGACAAAAGGAGGTTATGCCACTGTGGATGTGTATCTCTCTGCAATTATGGTGCATGATTTGGGGATTTGCAGCATTGATTTCAAGACATTAAATTTGTTAATGTTTCAACACATCTTTTTCTAGTACAAGATGAAATTCTGGAAGATAACTAAAGGTAATTAATGTCAAAATTAGCAAACTTAATAACCACAATTTACATTTTTCTGGAATATGTCTAATGCTATCAGGAAGAGACCTGGTCACCATATATAACATTAGCAGTTTTACATAAAATACACTATATATTTAATCAAGCAAGACTATATGAAGAAACCTTTGTGGAAAATAAAAACATCATGCTCTAGACTCAAAAGTAACTAAGAAATAAATGGCTTGGGACAGATTATTTACTCTAAAATAAGATAAAATGATTGTGAAACCAAATTGTGCTTCTATTTTTAAATGTTAGAACACACTTGGTGCCCATGATCCTAGGTCATATCTTCATCTATTAGTGATAAGTGGATATGTTTGGGTTTAAACCTTCTTGTTATAATCTCAGGACTCACTTAAGCTCATGAGCTTTGATGTTCACTTTCAAATAGGTTATGATCAGGAAGGCTGCTGAACAAGTCAAGTGAACTTTTCATTCAGTCAAAGATAGATAAATAAAAGATGAACTCTGAATGTTTAGTGTACAATGTAATTTTGGCATTATGGATAACAATAATATTTGACATAGACAGTACAGAGTAAAAGGATGGGAAAAGATTTTCCAATCAAATGGCCTCAAGAAACAAGCAGGTGTAGCAATCCTAATATCTAACAAAATGGACTTTAAACTAAAATCAATCAAAAGAGATGAAGAAGGGCATTTCATACTCATCACAGGAAAAGTCCATCAAGATGAAATCTCAATCCTGAACATCTATGCTCCAAATACGAAGGCACCCACATTTGTGAAAGAAACATTACTAAAGCTCAAACCACACATAAAACCACACACACTTATAGTAGGAGACTTCAACACCCCCCTTGCACCACTAGACAGGACCACCAGACAAAAACTTAACAAAGAAACAGAGGATCTGAAAGAAGTTATGGCCCAACTGGGGTTAACGGATATCTATAGAGCATTCCATCCAAACTCAAAAGAATATACCTTCTTCTCAGCACCACATGGCACCTTCTCCAAAATTGACCACATAGTAGGCAACAAAGCAAACCTCCACAATTACAAAAGAATTGAAATAACCCCCTGTATCTTATCAGACCACCATGCATTAAAGCTAGAATTCAGCAACAATACAAATGGCAGGAAACCTATTTAATAGACATTTTTATGAAGCAGAATTTTTGAAGGGCTGATCCACCCTGTCTTTGCAAGTTTTGGCAGTCACTCTCTTTTTCGTCCTGTTTGCACAACATTTTGTCCAAACCTTGAATAAGATTAGAAATATATGAACAGTATGTATTAACAAAATTAATCTCGAATTTGTATCAATTCTAAAATTTGAATACAATATATAAAAGTCTAACAATGTAAAATATTTAAACTAGTCATTGCTTTTTAGAAGTAGATTCAATAAGCTTCCTTTTATCCTAGCATATTGTACTCCCCTTTTTCTTTCAAAAAAAGAACCTGATTCTAATCTCTTTTGTTTAGATTTTTCCCTGACCATTATCAATAGTTACTTGTAACCAAATTCCATAAACAATAACAAGTATCCATAACCCAATGAACAACCAAAAGCCATCCACTCCAACCCTTTGGAATGTGGATATCATGTTCTTAAATTGCTTCCTGCTCTCTGTAGGTTATGGCATCTTTAGGGGAGCCTAAAAAGAAAAATTACGGTTAATTGTCAGGCCCTGGGAGAGGTAACTCTATTACTTGTTGTCCAGAGTCTGTGTAATGTGAAAGTGCAGGGCTTGTCTCAACTTCTGGCTAGAACAGTGTATGAGGCTGGATCATCTCAGCTAGCTACCTTGAAATTGTTTTGAGCAGTGACTGTGAGGCTGGATCATCTCAGCTAGTAGCCACCTTGTAGACCAAAGCCAATCTTTAGTTGGCATTTGTCATCTTAGTGGTATTATCATAGCCCTGGTAGAATTATCGTGGTGGGGCCCCATACTGTTGGAGACTTCAATTGTTGCTGTTAGGTTGTGTCATGGTTCACCTCAGAAAGCTGCTAGAGACTCAGGACCAAAATCTTGTACAGGAATGTAGATGATACCCTTTTCTAAAGTTTGTTAGTACTCTGAATATGACCATAAATATCATGGCTAAAAATTAAAAATACAAACAGATATATCTTATACATTTTTAGATAGCATTTATACCTCAAGAGAAGCTTCAGTGAGTTCAAACAAAACCAAAGGACTATGAGACTAGTAGCAATACTAATGGTCACTTAATTTTTGTTTTTCTTATGTCCAGTATCAGGTGAGACAAATATTTTGGATTTTACTTTAACAAGATTGCTTGGATTTAGAGAAGGAAAGAACCACACTCCCAACTCCAATATCTGCTTTAATCTTTAATTTAACTGGGACTACAAAAAGACAATTTGAATTACATATCTGTAGGGAAATGCAGAAATAAATATTTGGGAAGATATATGTAATTTTATCGTGTTGGAATCTGATATACCAATAAGCCAATTTATTCTTTTTCTTGGGACATTTTTTCTTGATGATTTGTCCTTTTTCTTCAGATGCCTCATTTTTTCCATTAAATTTCAGATTCATTAGACTTTTTCCCCTGAAAAGGCAAAACAAAAACTTTCCCGATCACTAATTTTGGGGAGGCTCTATTTTGGCAAATTATATCTGATCAAATGAAAAGCATTGCAGTTTTATAGGTTATTTCAGATTAAATGTCCATGATGCTTGATGAACTGTCATCTCTTCTAACTATGAGGTGTCTCTTGTTCTAATAGAATCTTTATCACTTTTGATGGTAGTCATAGCTTTACTTCTCCTCTGTAAACAATAGCAAAACCCCTCCCAACCTACCATGTATCGTGGATTCCTTTCTGAGATCAACACATCCTTAAAGTATACTGGCAGATTTAATTCCATAGTTTTTTCTATTATCCAATGCCTCTCCACAGCTGTTGTTCTGTTCTCATTTTCATCTAAAAATTCAAAATTAATAAAGCATTATCCAACACATTTCTGAGAGTATTTATTATCCCTTCTTGTTTATTTTGAGTTTCCTTTAGAGTTTGATTTGATCTATCTATAACTACCTGCCCTGTAGGATTGTGTGGTATACCATAATATGCTTCATATTATAATAAGCAAAAATTGTTTTATTTTCTTAGGGATATATGCTGGAGCATTGTCTGTCTTTATTTGAACAGGTATACCCATAATGGCCATAGCTTCTAGCAAATGTGTAATTACTGAACCAGCCTTCTCCCAACTCAAAGAGGGTGCCCATTGAAAACCTGAATAGGTATCAATGGTGTGATGTACATATTTAATTTTCCAAATCCTACAAAATGTAAAACATCCATCTGCCAGATTTAATCCCTTTGAGTACCCTTTGGGGTTACTTCCTGCAGGTAGTGGTGTTTGGTTGTATAAAGACCAAGTAGGACATTTCTTAATAATGTCCTTGGCTTGGTGCCATGGGATGGAAAAGTCTTTTTTCAAACGTTAGGTATTGACATGGCTTTTTTATGAAATTCTGAGGCCTATAGAACATTTCCTCTTAAATAGTTGATCAATTTCATCATTGCTTTGTGCTAGAGGGCCTAGTAG